CCAGACTCAAGGCTGCCTAGGGACTTGGCCAGTATTCAGTAGCCAGCTGCGTAATCAAATAATTGCAGGGGCCAGTCCTCTCTAGCCCCCAGTCAGCCCCTCAGCAGAGGCAAGGGCGCGCTGGGAGGATGCTGACCACCAGAGAGAGAGGTGCCACGTGAGAGCCCTCAGCCCACTGGAGTCCTTGCACTCAGCTGCCACCGTTCTGGGCCGGTCCATGGTACTCGAGGAGCTCAAGCTGCAGGCTGGTGGGGGAAACTCAGCGACAGGCACAGTGGCCTCTAAGATCAGACCCCATGATAATGCTCACAAAATGCCTCTTTCACATACAAGACATCCCAGTGAATGTGGGGGTGAGGTGTTAGAAAGGAGGCTGCTCCCCAGGGTGGAACCCAGGGTGATTCACACTGGCCTGTGGCCAGAAGGCAGACTGCCAGTGCTCACTGAACCTCCGAACAGGAAGCAGCCAGGTGGGGCACGGGCCCCAAACCCCCTCCCAACTGGACTGGGGCTGCATGAATGTGAGGTGCAAAGTCCGTTCCTGTGAAGGTGGCCGCAGGTGTGGGCGTGGGCCAGGTCTTTCTTGGGCGAGGCAGGGCTGGGACTAGGGTGCATGGAGGGTTGACTTTCCAGCGGAAGCAATGCTTCCTCCTTGGCCAGGTGAGGCCTCTCCAAGGCCAGGTGTCCTGGCCAGGGTTCAGTTCTCCCAGGAGGTAGGGCCAAAGATTACAGAGGAGGGGGCAGGGCACCGTGCTGCTAGCCCAGGGGCTCTGGAGGGGCTCAAACTGGAAACTCACTCCACAGAACAGGGCCTGGGGAGAGAATGGCCTCTCACCTTGAGGAGTACCACATTGGGGGGTTGTTGTTACGTGCCATCGAGTCACCTGCGACTCATAGCGACCCTATGTAAAACAGCCCAAAACCCTGCTCTATCCTGTGCCAATCGTGCCAATCGCACTGTCTCTGACACACCCATCCCGATTACCCCAGTCATTGACTCATTCCACCTCATAGAGGGTCTTTCTCTCCTGTGCTGTCCAGAGCATGATGTCCCTCTCCAAGGATTGGTCCCTCCTTGCAACATGTCCAAAGTATGTCAGATGAAGTTTCAGAATCCTTGCCTCCAAGGAGCTGCCCAGTTTAAACCCTCTCTAGGATGAATTTGTTTGTTTTTCTAGCAGCCCATGGTTGTTGTTGTTATGTGCCATTGAGTCGCTTGTGACTCATAGCGACCCTATGTACAAGAGCTCTAAACGCCGTTCTATCCTGTGCCAGCCGAGCCATCTCAAACACACTTATTCCCACCGCTCCAGTCACAGAATCGATCCATCTCATCAAAGGTCTTCCTCTCCTTCACCGCCCCTCCACTTTGCTAAACATGATGTCCCTCTCCAAGGACCAGTACCTCCTTGCAACATGCCCAAAGTATGTCAGACGAAGCTTCAGAATCCTTGACTCCAAGGAGCATTCCACCTTCACCTTCTCCAGGACGAACCTGTTTGTTCTCCTAGCAGTCCATGGTATATTCAACACTCTTTTCCAGCACCACAGCTCAAAGGCATCAGTTCTCTTTCTATCATCCTTAGTCACTGTCCAACTCTCTGATGCATAGCACGTAATTGGAAAGACTATAGCCCGGATCAGGCACACCTTAGTCACCAGTCTGCCATCATTGCTCTTCGGTACTCTTGAGAGGTCCCTCACAGCTGACTTTCCCAATGCATTTCTTCTCTTGATTTCCTGGCTGCTGTTACCAAGAGTGTTGACTGTGGAGCCAAGGAAACGAAAACTGTTAACTATCTCAATCTCTTCACCATCCATACTGATGCTGCCAATTGGCCCAGTGGTGAGAATCTTTGTTTTCTTGATGTTGAGCTTCAGTCCATATAGGAGGCTGCAGTCCTTGATATTCTCCAGCAAGTGCTTCAGGTCCTCCTCAGTTTCAGCAAGCAGGGTTGTGTCATCTGCATACACAGGTTGTTGATGATTCTTCCACCAATCCTGATGTCACATTCCTCTTCATATAGCCCAGTGTCTCAGATGATCTGTTCTGCATACAGATTGAAAAAGATATGGAGACAGAATACATCCCTGACGGACCCCCTTCTTGATTTTGAACCATATAGTGTCTCCTTGCTTGACGACTGCCTTTTGGTCCAAGTATAGGTTTCACATAAGCACAATCAAATGTTCTGGGATTCCCATTCTTCTCAGAGTCAGCCACAGCTTGTTGTGATCCACACAGTCAAAAGCCTTTACATAGTCAATGAAGCAAAGATAGACATTCTTCTGGTATTCTCTGCTTTCTGCCAAGATCCATCTAACATTAGCTATAATATCCCTAGTACCACGACCTCTTCTAAATCCAGCCTGCACATCTGGCAGTTCTCTGTTGACATATCGTTCCAAACGTTTTTGGATAATTTTCAGCAGAATCTTGCTTGCATGTGATATTAATGAAATTGTTCGATAATTTCCACACTTTGTTGGGTCACCTTTCTTTAGAATGGGAATATCGATCTTTTCCAGTCCATGGGACATTCCGTATTCTTCTCCAGCACCACAGCTCAAAGGCATCAATTCTCCTTCTATCGTCCCCAGTTATTGTCCAGCTCTCTGACGCATAGCAAGTGACTGCAAAGACCATGGCCTGTATCAGGCGCACCTTAGTCTCCAGAGTGACATCATTGTTCTTCATAACTTTAGAGAGGTCTCTAAGGGCAGACTTTCCCTCCTCATTTTATACCAGGAGGTCAATTAAACTCCTCCCTCCCCCCAGTATGGCTCAGTGGTAAGGCTGCATGGGCCAACAACCCAAAGACATGTATTTAGAATCCAGCTGCTCCTTTGGAGAAAGATGGGCATTCTCCCCTCTTCTGATTCACTGCCTCTGAAAACCTGCTCAAGGGTCACTATGGGTCAGTTCTAACTCAATGATACTCAACAACCACCCACAATGTGGAAGCTACTCTCAGATTTGGACATCAGCGTGGGGAAACTGAGGCCAGGAGGAGACAGACCCATGTTCTTTTCATGCCCCCAGCCTAAGGGGCTCTAGCACCCGTGTGATCGCTGACCACCGGCCCCCAGGCATCTCGGGTCACTGGACCAGAAATGCTGCATTTGGACAAGTGCACAAACTGGGGCCAGTAGAAAGAAGACCGGTCACAGGCGCCGGACACAGCTGTCCTGCCGCCAGAGCCACTCCCTGACCCTGCTCCGACCCCGGCACCCTTGACCCAGGGGAAGCTCCAGTCCAGGTGCTGCAGGGCCCAGCCGCACGCTGGCCCGTGTGCCCTCCTGTCCTGACAACTGGGACCGCCCCGCCTCTACCGTCTGATTTCGCTAAAGTCCAGCCAATTCCCGTCTGCTGCGGGGCCTGGGCGTGTCCACCGCCAGGGAGGCACCGTCCGCGGGCAAGATCTCCGTCCAGCCTCTGGCGCTGGACCAGGCGGACCTTCAGCGCGGGGTCACCGCGCCCCCTGCCGGCCGCGCCGCGCCATGCGCCCCGCTACGACCGGGCGCCGCTTCCGCCCCGCCGCAACCACGCCCACCACACGCAGCGTCAGCCACGCCTACCACAGAACCCCGCCTCCACCCATTGGCCGCGCCCTCCTTAGTCCCGCCCATCACAGAACTCCGCCTCGCCCTCCTTAGGGCC